TAGATAAAAGTAAACAACTTTCTGTTGCATTTATGGATTTAGATACAGCTTGTGTTAAGGTGGATAGGAGAGCAATGTGGCAAATGTTGAAAATGTATGAAATAGGTAGTGCGTTATTAGAAGTTGTAAAGAGCTTCTTTAGAGTCGCTTCAGTAGGTCAGCGCCCACGTGGCGGCGACAGAACCTACCAAGGCAGAAGACAGGAAAGGCAAAGAACAAAGATAATGCAGAAGAGAAACGAAGTGGAAGGAGAGGAGGCGATCAAGGTTAGGTCAAGTAACGGGTGTTCAAAAGTTTAGAATATTTGACAACGTAACATGAAAGTCAAACATCTACAGAAACAAAGCCATAACTAAGATTCATGTTAGAAAAGTTGTCAGTAACAGCTCCATCAACAAGTTGGTGTTTTTGAAGGTTAGAAGAAGAGCGGATAGTTTTAGCAGAGGATCAGTTAATAGGATGTTTATGATCTCAGACATGACAGAAAAGAACATAATTGATGTCTCTAATGCGAACACATCTTTTGTGCTCTTTATATCTGTCAGAAAGAGAGCGGCTGGTTTCACTAAGTATTGGAGAGGACAGGTAGAGCAGGAAATAGAATAAACGCTGGTAGCATCAGTAATAAGAGAAGTATGGAAAATTAGTACGAAGGGTATTAGTTTGACGAAAATCAGTTTGATTGCTAGAGGGCAGAGAATGTTGTCAAGGTTTTGAAGATGGGAAATGTAGGGAAGGAAAAGAACAGATTTCACAGGAAAAGTGTGAGAGTGAAAAGCATGACAGAAAATAGTTTATGTGCATCCCACTGTGCTTGTGGTGAAAGGATAAAGAAAGTCACAGAGCAGTGGACATGAACATCAAGGAAAGGAAGCAGAGAGTTAAATTCCCTTTCACCTTTGAATTTTAAAGAAGGAGCAAGATTGTTACAGGTATCAAGAAAAGATTGGAAGAGACAAGGGTCATGTGACCACAGAACAAACTCATCATCCATACAGCAAAGCCAGAGAGAAGGACGTGCCCCATCAAGTAGAAAGTAGGAATGTTTAGAAATATTCCCTATAAAGTTTAGCAAATACATGTGACCGAGGAGAGCCCATAGCAACACCGAAAGATTTAGAATAGAATTTACCTTGAAAGGAAAATCATTTTAGAGTCCAGTTGAAGGTTAATTGGGGCAAGAAAGACATCAGTGGGGAAGGAAAATGAAGCAGTACTTTATTGGCCTTCACCTTCAGAAAGGAAGGCCATTAGCTTTCTTTCAGTGCCCCTTTGTTCTCTTTGTTTTTTATACTACCACTTCCACCGCTGATATTTTTTTTCACTGCTATTACTTCGGGCACCTGTTTTACCATTACCACTACTACTACTCACTACTACCACTATTGTGATACTACTACCACCACCACCACCACTACTATCACCACTCTCGTCTCGTGCCTGTTCTTTCTCCATTCTGTCTTCTGGTCCTCCCTGCTTATTCTCTCAGTTCTGATCTGGCAGTGATTCAGGCCGGACCGATACATCTAGTAACATTTCTTTACAAAGAGCTGATTCTTGGTGAACTGACCCAGGGCATGTTTATTGCAATATCTATTATATTTTTTGATTCATTTTCTCTATGTTTTCTTGCACTCTGCCTAATTGTATAATAGATACAGAGAAAATTTCTTCCTTTCTCTTCTCCAGTCTCTCTCTGATACTGACAAATTAGTTTAAAAACATGAGTGAAGAAACACTAGGACATACTTATTAGAAAACGTTTTGGTTCTAGGACCTTATTAAGGTCCCGTTATCCTGGGTTACTCACTGTTCTCCGGGTTAATAATCCCACTACTGGAGATAAGTCACATTATTTGTCTTTTTTAGGTAATGCTATTATTTGTAAAACCGTCTGTAGATTTTTGCAACTGAGACTTACATTACCTTAGGGTGTCCCCTTGTTCACCTAATTGTAATCATCTAATTGTGGTTGTAGGGGTTGATTCATATCTCCTGGCCCAGCCTCTTCACTGGTTGCCACTAGATCCACTCTCTCCCTGCTCCATGAGCTTTTTCATACCTCTTCTTAAAGTGATACCTGCATCCACTACCTTACTTTCCAGACAGTTCCACTTCCTGAAAACTTTATGGCTGAATAAATACTTTCTAACATCCCTGTGACTCGTCTGACGTCTGAATCTTCAACTTCCAGTTGTGATCCCTTGTTGCTGTGTCCCATCTCTGAAACATCCTGTCTCTGTCTACCTTGTCGATTTCTCCCAGAACTTTATATATCCGAGACTAGTCTCGTTGCAAACCTTTGCACTTTGCTCGGTTTGTAGTGCACTCAGCTGCCACAATGAGAGTCCGTGGCTCGAGTCCCGTTGGGCATGTTTCCTTACACCTGCTGCCCCTGTTCACCTAGCAGTAAGTAGGTACCTGGATGTTAGTCGACGGTTGCTGGTCGCATCCTGGGGGGTAGCAGTGTAGATTGTCTGAACTGGGCTTTGAAATAAGCTGAGGTAGGATAATAGCTCTTAGCCTGTAAAATTGGTCTGTGTAGAAAAAACTGTAGTTTACATGTAATAAAGTATTGTTGAGCACAAAGAAAGCCACTAGCATGCTAGATTAATATCATAATGAAGGGGAAGAGCAAAACCCGTAGGATTATACAGCGCCTGTGTGAGGGGGGGGGATGGAAGATATTCAGGCTTAATTCAGAAAACTGGAGCACAGATCCAGTTCCCTAAATCAAGAGCCCCTCACCAGCATCAAGGAACTTTCCTTGAAGGGACTAGCATGCTTAGCATTTCGGGAAGTCGTTGATGTACTTAGGTCGGTATAAGCTCTATCATGTACTTGTAGAAATTAAGATTATTAGTATTATTATTATTAGTAGTAGTAGTAGTAGCAGCAGTAGTAGTAATAATAGTATATTATTTCTCTAACTGGTCAGTTATTTTTCACCTACAGAGAGAACTTTCAGTTATACCTAACGTAGTAAATGAGAACGATGACAGAAGAAAGAAAACAATTTTGAGGGTGAACTAAAATAAACCAAATAGTGACCCAAAAATTAGTTTGATTTCCTTCATAGCTTTTTAATTAACTCGTACAGTAAGTATAATTATGTAACTATTTATATGTACCTGTACCTGAATAAATAACCATACCTGAATACATGACCTGCATCCTCGTATCGCGTTCAACACCAGCCATTTCTTTTTCGTATTCTGTCAGACTTAAGTTTTCATATTCGCTGTTATATATAAGTTTGAGAAAGAATATTTCATGTTCTTATGAGCATATACACACCTTGAGGTGTAATGTCACTCAGTACATATAATGTGAGAGTTTACTTTGATTCCTATTTAGGAATTAAAGTTTACTTGACTGGTGGTCGAGGACAGCGTGAAGCAAGCTTCTATACCACAAGACGGGCAGAAAGCAGCAACTTCACTCTGGCTGTACCCTTCTCCAGATCATCACTTCATCTGAGATCATTTATCCCCAGGATGACTAGAGTATGGAACACATTCGTACAGCATCATGATGTCAACGAGATAATGTCAGTTGATCAGATGAAAATGCTAGCCCACAGATGGCTCCAACTTCATCGTATTCCCTACTTGTATGTTTCATAACAATAAAAATGCTTTCGAATGAGCTGATGTAGGTAACAGCTCTTAGCATGTCAATAAAGATAGCAATCTTTAACCTATAAATAGCTTGTCAATAAAGCTAAGGATCCTTAACCTAACCTTGTCAACCCAAAAAAAAAAAGTTCACGCAGCCTTAATGATCCTCCTGTAGACGATCTGCATTAAATACCTGATATATTTATATATATACATTATCTCATGTTTACACATCTCTCAGAATGCAACGACAAGTTAAGTAGTAGCAGCAGCAACACACACAGTAAGAGAAATTCTTGAGCTTTCCCAGCACTTGGGCTTAATGCCCAAAGTTGGGGTGTGGCTCCAAAAGAATCCTGTACTGCTTGCTGCCTTTGCACCTCCTGACATTATCTGCTGCTATGCAGCTTCCACACCCTTCAAGCCCAGTGTGGGCAGGATTTGTGTCAGCCCAAGGTGCGTAGATTCTCTTTCCGAGCCCCATGGGGGCGAGGAATGTGGATAGGCCTGTGGACAGCTAGTCCAAGAAGATGAGGAGTACTTGTACCTCTTCCCATGGTAGACATTGGACTGAAACACTCCCACTACAGGGAGCCAAGGCCGACCCACTTCTTGGAAAAAGCCCGGGCAGGGCGATTATACCGGTAAATCTACAAAGAAAAAGTTTACACATCTCTGGTGACCTTGGGACTGTTGTATGGTGTACCAGTGGTACCTTATGTCCATCACTGTTAGATAACAGGATCCTAAGCCTATTAATGAAATTTATATAACAAGGCTACCAGTTGGGTCCTACCCTTGAGGGGTAGTATCTGACCTCTCAAAAGAAAATCACGAAAGTCTCCGTTCTCTTCATGTACTGGTAGGCTAGTTAGTGGGGGTTTAGAGCATATCGGCTACACAAGGGTATTTTTTATGGCCGCATATAACATGTTCACAACCAGTGAAGAACCTTTATTCTATAAAATAGGGGTTACAGAAAATTCTCAGCATATACACGCTGAGACATGCATCTGTATGTCACGGTATATATCAACCAGGAAATTATTTTATCAAGAAAAATGGTAATTGTCACTATCTACAACTTACCCACAGCTAGTATTCAGACCGCCCGACTCCACCGACATGCAGTGTTTATCTAGGTATTGTCCTTTCCATGTTACTATTAAATCAGCTGAAATTTGGTAATAAACTACGTAACGAGTCAGTGGAGTTACAGATTTTGAGCCTGTGTTGTTTTTTTTAGATGAATAACTTAGCTTTGCATGACTACCATGGATTTGGCTTTTTTTAATGTTTTATGAACTTTGTAAATAGGTACGAGTCTTCTTAAAAATGCATATAAAATTTTGATCAATTTATTTTATTATGACATGTGTATATAAGCAGCAGCATGATCCATAGTAAGTGCATCACAGGAATGGGATGTATCAGTCCTCAAGGTTATTGACAAACATGTTATTTGTTTTATATGGTATCAACACACAATTAAGTTTGAAAATAATATATTTATTCCACCATTTACTTCTGCACAATAAAAACATTATTATCATCATCTTGGAATGCTTCGTAATATGCATATTCTGATAAAATTCGTTTCCTCTTAAATTTTGCACTCCATGCCATGTGGATGACAGAAGCAGAACACACCAGCCCACACACACGTGTACTTGAAGTTACTGATGAGAGAAACTGAGAACGCACTTGTTACGCCGTCCAGTGACAATATGGAATCACAAACGCTAACAATTTGTTGCCATCTCATTTAACAACAATTCAGACACTCGATTATATATATTAACCCGCTAACAAAACATCGCTTTCTTTTTAATATTATTTAAGACAGTCGAAAAAGCAGATTTGATACAAAAGCAAAAATTCTTCTCTGTGGCTTCTCAATTTCTATTCTGTTAGAACATATTCTCACCGTAATGCATTTTAACATTTGTGTTATTTTATAATAATTTTATAATTGGCTAAATCTGGTTAATTTATGTTAACCTAATCTAACCCAAAATATAATACATTTTGAAATCATCTTATGTCACCACAGTACAAAAGCATTTTGTGATTTACAATGACATGTGGAATACTGATGCGAAATCTTCTTGATGTTCATCAAAGAAACATTCACAGTATTATATACTTTGCTATAATTAATATTGTAAGATATGTCCTTTAATTTAGGCTAATACTTTTTTTTTTATAAAAAATACGTTATGAATACATTCTATACAAGGGAAATTTTGGCTGGAATGTCCAGAATTGAGTTTCACATACTGACTTTCTCCTCTGCCTTCACAGACTTTGATATTTTGCATAATTTTATCTAAAACAACACACATACACTCCTCTCCTCTCTCTCTCTCTCTCTCTCTCTCTCTCTCTCTCTCTCTCTCTCTCTCTCTCTCTCTCTCTCCCTCTCCGTTTTCTCTCTCCAGTTTAATTCTTTGTTCCTGCTTTTCTTTCCTCTGATATATATTCATCACTAATAGTGCATTTTATTCTTCATCTAAAGCAATGATTACTTGTACATCACAGTACATCTTGTGAATCTTGGTTTCGACCAGGTAACTCAGCAGTGACATACCCGTTCATAGATTCTCGAAAATATAGTCGTCAAGGATGGTGGCGCACGCAGCCTCTTCCATAGCTCTGCCTTAGGCCGGGGCGACAGGCGCAGCAGCTGCAACTGCAGCATCAGCAGGAGCTCCAGCAGCGACATCAGTTTGCCTGAGAGATTCTTGTAGCTGCCTCTTGCGGCCTTCCAGCTGCTCCAGCTCTTTTTCCAGCTCAACCATCTTGGCTGTGTTAATATCTTCGCTCTACGGGGAAAAACGTTAAGTGATAGGAAGATTAAGTGAAACGACCCAAAAGTGGGAAAAATAAGACAAAACAGAATAACAGAAGATGGAAACAAGCAAAGGATCGTTAAATAAAAAAAATACCAAGAACACTTAATTCGTTAAATAATATTACCAATAATTCGTTAAATAATAATATCTAGTTTTTCTTTTTGTCTTTTTACTTTTTTTTCATTGTTTTCGTTCTGTAACTTGAGAATGACATGTCTGGTCATTTATTCTCAACACTAGTGTAACTTACTTAAACTAATGTTCAGATTCTTGCTGGGCCGGGAGGGTGTCAATTTCCTAGTTAACATTGAAAAAAAAATGGGAGTCTCAGAGTTTCTCTTTGGAGCACTAAATAACTGAAATATCTATACCATATCCCCGATCCAAAATAATAATCCAGGTTGTCTCCTGGTTGCTCAGAACCAGTGAAGATTATAACCCATGCCCTATCTGCGTCTTCCTATAATCGTTTGTAAAAATGGGAATATAGCCCTCATAGAGGGAGGGAAAATTGATGTGAAAATTGCATTACCAAAACATTCAGGAATTACAATACTCTGAAAAAGAGTTATGGCCCATGTGAACCTTCAGTCAAAGACCCGAAAAAGATGCTCGCCGGTAAGTGGGTATCTCTCACTTAGATTTGATCAAATACTTATGATAGGAAGTAAAGTCTCCTCGATATTACTGTCTAGAGAGATTGCGCCCTTTATTCTGGATATACAGTCGCTAGTATGAGTACAAATACAATATCCAGAATAAGCTCATGTTGAGATAGTGCTTCACGAAAACGATTTAGTAACAGAAGTTTTTCTGAATATTTTGCCTTCGTACCGCAGCATTAACACTTATATACATGATATACTTTAAACTAAATTTAAAGACGGATTCAGGATATTTAGATTCCTTCAGCAAGAAAATCTGGAATCATTATAAAAACAGATCAGGATCTGAGTGAATGAAGCTGATAAAAGTACATGGCCAATGTCTTTGTGGGTGAACAAAAAAAAAATATTTTACATACCTGCATACAGACTGAAGGTTCCCCAATCATTTCACATGATAATACAGACAAAATATTTAACATAATCTTAAGTAAAACCAGTAAATCCACACCGCAGATTAATCTTAGACAGATCACAAAGCAACTGTATAAAGTGGCACCTTGAAAACTAACAAACGTGATCCAATCAGTACACAACTGCACTGAAAGAAAAACATCGTCTACACTATCCCTTGCTTAGAATGTGACAAAATATGTATGAGTGGCACAACACGTGACACTAACACGAAAATTTAAGTGCACATGTATTCTTGCAGGACCCATAACACCAGTCGTGAATAAATTCATCCCATGAAACAACGTTTGGATATTTACGAATGAGGAAAACAGGAAGGAAAAAAATGCCTAAAAGAAGCTGGCATATAAAAACCAGTGAACAGAATATAGGAGCTTTCAGCAATGTTTCATCCCATGTGCATACAATTCTCCGAAATTGAGAACGATATATGAATTAAAAAAAAGTGAAAGCCTGCTCAGTCTGTCACCATCATACACCCAAGACATTACCTTGCCCACTCTTACAAGGTATGTAGCTTCGCGTTATGCATTTCTCTGTCGGACTTGAAGCTCAGATTTGAAAGAAACGTCCAGGACAGGCTTGCCATGATCCCAGTCTAAAAGGATGTTATGGGTGTAATGTATTCTAGAAAAGCCTTATTGATACTGGAAAAAAACACCGCCTTTTACGTAGCAGATCAGTCGATTTTTAACCGTATTCTCAAACAGGTAACCCTTAATATAACTGGGCGAAAATTATATACAGAAAACATGATGTTTACTATTCGTAGATTTGAAATACAGAGAATAACGACCTGTATCCGGGATGAGTCTTTCCTGAGATACTATATACAGGCCTATCACGAAAGGGGGTAATAGACAGTAACATAAGGAATGTATTCTTGGACAGGAGTATATCTCGCAATTTGAAAAAAAAGAAGAAAAACACGATGAGTTAGTGAGTTCTGACTGACAGACTGTCACTGTTAATAGCAAATTCTATTTAAAAAGGCATAGTGAGCTCGTCTGCCACGTCGATAACACAATCTTAGTCTGGAAGATGGCACTAACTGACCTTAGACAGAATGGTTGCCACCTCCTTCATCTTTTCGTCATTCAGATGGCGCAGGAGCGACTTTACCTCCTCCCGTTCATTGCTGCTTAGCTGGCTGCTTCCACGTACCACCTGCCGATGAATTTTTTTTAAAACACAATTAAATGTTGTTATGTGGAGCTCTAATGTATTGATAGTTATCTTGATTAAGACACCCTTATGAACGATTCAGGATTTATGGAAAAGCCTACTAATCCATGTAAATTTTAATGCAGTCAGTTAACAACTGTGTATACCAGTTAAACATATAGCTCAATAGTTCTATGCACAGCTGTGTACACTGACCAAATATATCGCGTCACTGGTCTTATAAATAGTAGTGTCATCATAGTGACTCAGCATATTGCTGTGCACTCCAGAGATATGTGCCAAATGTACTTCCATTCTAGAATGTACTTTATATGATAGCAAGTTTAGGTACAAACACTAAGAATGTTAGATCAAGGGGTAGTAACTTAATTTTGGTCTTCGGTTCCGTATTAATAAGATGGTTCTCCCCTAACGTAACCCAACGTAGCCTTCAATAACGTAAGGTAACAGTTCTTAACATCCTCTCTTATCGGCATAAAAAACTTTCGTGCGTGTGTTTATGTTCACTGTGATTGGTTAGGCCCGTCGACTGACGTATACTAACCGTTGATTGGTCCTGACCTGGCATACGAGCCAATATAAAGGTATTATTTCAGCTAATATCTCCCCATAAAAAAGTGCTTCAAGAAATACCTATTTCCCTCATGGTGTAGATAGGCTTTAAAGTGTCGTAAAATTAAGAATAATGCCTGAATTCCACCGAGGACCAACATTTAGTAATAACCAACTGAAGATACAGAACTTGTGTAACCCCTTTCTGTATGGTGTTTCATTGGATATAATATTCTCAGTTGGAGATCATAATACCTATAGATGAGGTTGCAGGTGACAGTATGAGCGGGTCACATCTAATCATAAGTGATATGAGCAAGATATTCAGGATTGAGATCAATCACACACACAGATCCTGATCTGCTACAGTGAGTAGCGAATCAAATGATAGGAGGTTTGTGACGTCATGTAGGATCTTCAGTTGTTTAAAAACTAAAACAATTGGATAAACGTATCCCCGAGTATCATCAATCCTGCCTCTGCCACCTTAAAATCATGCCAAGCGAGTTGTTAAAGTCGGTAAAAGCATGCTAAGCTAGAATTAGGTACTGTAATCATGGGAGAAGGGTTAAACCTGTAAAGGTCACAGAGCCTTGAGAAGGGAGAGAGAATCAGATTTGATACACTGGAAGGCAGTTTCAACTGGATCAAGAGCCCTTCACCAGCATCAAGGCAGCCTCCTTCTTATTTCCTTGAAGAAAAAGGTAATATAAAAGGAGGAGGTAGAGGCAAGGGCGTTACTGCCACCGAGATAATCCCATGTGACTATAAATGGTTTTTCCTGGGCTCGGTGGAGTATAACAATAAGCTAATATAGTAAACATATATTAACCAATAAAGTTACATAGTAAAAGCGACGTTTTTTTAGTTATTCTTGTGGTGTGTAAGTCAATAACACCGCAATATTCAGCAAAGAAAAATTCTCTCCACAGAATATATACCCTGAGGGGTATATTTCTCTCAGCGTATATATACCGAGAGTTTGCTTTAATCCCTAGTTTAGGGATTAAGGTATTTTTGTCTGGTGGCGCGAACGTTATCGTGCAACATAAATGCCTCTAGTGCAATCGAGAGGCTTTAAACTCCATTAACCAAGCAGCTAAAGTCTCTTGTTTTACCACCTATATATGCAGTCGATTACATGCAAGACAATCATAAAATGAGCTATTTGTGTTATAAAATAGCTGTCGTTTCTTGAAGACTGAATACATTTTATACCAATACATGCTACAGACGGTCAAGAAAATACAGGCGCAACACATGCTTTTACTATGAAAATGATTTGCTCTGTGTAGAGCTTAATCAAGTTAATGACAAAACAGTACTCGGAACGATACGTACTCACCAAAGCACTTTGTAAATGTGTCTTTTCTTGAGACTGAAGGCCAGAGTATGAATGGTACAAGTATTTTGACAATCAGTTAAGGTAAGTGAACTCATTTTCAACGTTGGATTTTTTTTTATTTAGGTTGCGTTTCCGTATCGTGGAGCTTGAAGCTCCCTTACTCCGAAACGAAACGTAGTTTCATCAGATTTTCAACCCATACATATGTATCAGTTTAACTAAAAGACATTGCATATAAACGCAAAAGATAATAGGAATGGACGTGATTTTCAGCAACACTCGTTACAAGTTAAAAGAAACTTCGTTCACTGGGACTTTCTACAAGGCAATTCTTTTAAGAACAGAATTTCACGTGTTACCTGAGAAAAGGCAGTGAGTGTTCTGTGAGCAGCACAGGTGACATCCCGTTGTAGCCCGTTGCTGCTGGGCTCCGCTACCAAGGCACCAAGGGCTTTGGCTAAGTCCTCCAGGGATTTCGGAAGGGCGTCTTCGCTGTTCTCACACGCATCTACTGGCGGGAGAGAGAGATGGGACATGATCACAAGGCACAGAATGGGAAATATGTGCTCTGTTCATTTCATGCAAAATGTCAATATGGATGCGTCGTTACCGTACATATAATACCTAATAAATTTTTGTATAAACATTTAATATAATGTGAAAGGTCGAGAATGGCTTTTGGTTAGTATCATCTGAAAATTTTTATACTTTGAGATCATTTAGATGCATTGTGAAGTTTCTGTAGATCCTGTTGTTTTACTAGGTGTTGGCTCAGATTCCGAAGTTGAAAGAGTTTCTGTAGGTACTGTTGTTGTTCCCCTAGATTGCGTTTCAGATACAATACTTGTAGAAGTTTCTCCAGGTCCTGTTGTTGTTCCAGTGGGTATTGATTCAGATTCCTTAGTTGAAAGAGTTTCTTTAGGTACTGTTGTTGTTTCTCTAGGTATTGTTTCAGATACAACACTTGTAGAAGTTTCTCCAGGTCCTGTTGTTGGTTCAGTTGGTGTTGTTCCAGATAAAGAAGTTGTAGTAGTTTCTCTGTTAACTGTTGTTTTTCCACTAGGTGTTGTTTCAGATACAATACTTGTAGAAGTTTCTTTAGGCTCTGTTGTTTTTTCACTAGGTGTTGGTTCAGATTCCGAAGTTGAAAGAGTTTCTATAGGTACTGTTGTTTTTCCACTAGGCGCTGTTTCAGATACAGTGCTCGCAGAAGTTTCTGTAGGTCCTGTTGTTGTTCCACTAGGTGCTGGCTCAGATTCCGAAGTTGAAAGAGTTTCTTTAGGTACTGTTGTTGTTCCTGTAGGTATTGTTTCAGATACAACACTTGTAGAAGTTTCTTTAGGTTCTGTTGTTGTTCTTCTAGGTATTGTTTCAGATACAACACTTGTTGAAGTTTCTTTAGGTTCTGTTGCTCGAGAGCTTGTTGCTGTTGGAGGTACCGAAGTTGAAAGGATTTCTCCAGGTCCTGTTGTTGGCGCAGTAGGTCTTGTTCCAGATGCAGAATTTGTAGAAGTTTCTCTATTTCCTGTTGTTGTTCCAGTGGGTGTTGGTTCAGATTCCGAAGTTGAAAGAGTTTCCTTAGGTACTGTTGTTGTTTCCCTAGATGTTGTTTCAGATACAATACTTGTAGAAGTTTCTCCATGTCCTGTTGTTGTTCCAGTGGGTGTTGGTTCAGATTCCTTAGTTGAAAGAGTTTCTTCAGGTACTGTTGTTTTTCCACTAGGTGTTGTTTCAGATACAATACTTGTAGAAGTTTCTCTAGATCCTGTTGTTGTTCCACTAGGTGTTGGCTCAGATTCTGAAGTTGAAAGAGTTTCTTTAGCTACTGTTGTTTTTCCACTTGGTGTAGTTTCAGATACAATACCTGTAGAAGTTTCTGTAGATCCTGTCGTTGTTCCACTAGTTGTTGGCTCAGATTCCGAAGTTGAAAGAGTTTCTTTAGGTACTGTTGTTTTTCCAATAGGTGTTGTTTCAGATACAGTACTTGTAGAAGTTTCTGTAGGTCCTGTTGTTGTTCGACTAGGTGTTGGTTCAGATTCCGATGTTGAAAGAGTTTCTTTAGGTACTGTTGTTGTTCCTGTAGGTATTGTTTCAGATGCAACACTTGTAGAAGTTTCTTTAGGTTCTGTTGTTGGTCTTCTAGGTATTGTTCAGATACAACACTTGTTGAAGTTTCCTTAGGTTCTGTTGCTCGAGAACTTGTTGCTGTTGGAGGTACCGAAGTTGAAAGGATTTCTCCAGGTCCTGTTGTTGGCGCAGTAGGTCTTGTTCCAGATGCAGAATTTGTAGAAGTTTCTCTATTTCCTGTTGTTGTTCCAGTGGGTGTTGGTTCAGATTCCGAAGTTGAAAGAGTTTCTTTAGGTACTGTTGTTGTTCCCCTAGATGTTGTTTCAGATACAATACTTGTAGAAGTTTCTCCAGGTCCTGTTGTTGTTCCAGTGGGTGTTGGTTCAGATTCCTTAGTTGAAAGAGTTTCTTTAGGTACTGTTGTTTTTCCACTAGGTGTTGTTTCAGATACAATACTTGTAGAAGTTTCTGTAGATCCTGTTGTTGTTCCACTAGGTGTTGGCTCAGATTCCGAAGTTGATCCAGTTTGTGTTGGTTCAGATTCCTTAGTTGAAATAGTTTCTTTAGGTATTGTTGTTCCTCTAGGTATTGTTTCAGATACAACAATTGTAGAAGTTTCTCCAGGTCCTGTTGTTGGTGAACTTGTTGTTGTTGGAGGTACCGAAGTCGAAAGGATTTCTCCAGGTCCTGTTGTTGGTGCAGTAGGTGTTGTTCCAGATGCAAAAGTTGTAGAAGTTTCTCTGTTAACTGTTGTTGTTCCACTAGCTGTTGTTTCAGATACAATACCTGTAGAAGTTTCTCTAGGTCCTGTTGTTGTTCCAGTGGGTGTTCGTTCAGATTCCGAAGTTGAAAGAGTTTCTTTAGGTACTGTTGTTTTTCCAATTAATGTTGTTTCAGATACAATACTTGTAGAAGTTTTTCTAGGTACTGTTGTTGATTCACTAGGTGTTGGTTTAGATTCCGAAGTTGAAAGAGTTTCTGTAGGTACTGTTGTTGTTCCCCTAGATGTTGTTTCAGGTACAATACTTGTAGAAGTTTCTCCAGTTCCTGTTGTTGTTCCAGTGGGTGTTGGTTCAGATTCCTTAGTTGAAAGAGTTTCTTTAGGTACTGTTGTTTTTCCAATAAGTGTTGTTTCAGATACAATACTTGTAGAAGTTTCTTTAGGTCCTGTTGTTTTTCCACTAGGCGTTGGTTCAGATTCTGAAGTTGAAAGAATTTCTTTAGGTACTGTTGTTTTTTCACTTGGTATTGTTTCAGATACAATACTTGTAGAGGTTTCTCTAGGTCCTGTTGTTGATGCAGTAGGTGTTGGTTCAGATTCCGAAGTTGAAAGAGTTTCTTTAGGTTCTGTTGTTTTTCCACTAGGTGTTGTTTCAAATACAATACTTGTAGAAGTGTCTTTAGGTCCTGTTGTTGTTCTAGTGGGTGTTGGTTCAGATTCCGAAGTTGAAAGAGTTTCTTTAGGTACTGTTGTTTTTCCACTAGGTGTTGTTTCAGATACAATACTTGTAGAAGTTTCTGTAGATCCTGTTGTTGTTCTAGTGGGTGTTGGCTCAGATTCTGAAGTTGAAAGAGTTTCTTTTGATATTGTTGTTGTTCTGCTAGGTGTTGTTTCAGATACAATACTTGTAGAAGTTTCTCTAGGTCCTGTTGTTGATTCACTAGGTGTTGGTTTAGATTCCGAAGTTGAAAGAGTTTCTTTAGGTACTGTTGTTGTTTCCCTAGATGTTGTTTCAGATACAATGCTTGTAGAAGTTTCTCTAGGTCCTGTTGTTGTTCCACTAGGTGTTGGCTCAGATTCCGATGTTGAAAGAGTTTCTTTAGGTACTGTTGTTTTTCCACTAGGTGTTGTTTCAGATATAATACTTGTTGAAGTTTGTCTAGTTCCTGTTGTTGTTCCACTAGGTGTTGGTTCAGATTCCGAAGTTGAAAGAGTTTTTCCAGGTACTGTTGTTGTCCCTCTTGGTGTTGTTTCAGATACAGTACTTGTAGAAGTTTCTGTAGGTCCTGTTGTTGGTGAACTAGTTGTTGTTGGAGGTACCGAAGTTGAAAAGATTTCTCCAGGTCCTGTTGTTGGTGCCGTAGGTGTTGTTCCAGATACAGAAGTTGTAGAACTTTCTCTGGTAACTGTTGTTGTTCCACTAGGTGTTGTTTCGGTTTCAATGCTTGTAGAAGTTTCTCTAGGTCCTGTTGTTGGTGAACTAGTTGTTGGAGGTACCGAAGTTGAAAAGGTTTCTCCAGGTCCTGTTGTTGGTGCCGTAGGTGTTGTTCCAGATACAGAAGTTGTAGAACTTTCTCTGGTAACTGTTGTTGTTCCACTAGGTGTTGTTTCGGATTCACTGCTTGTAGAAGTTTCTCTAGGTCCTGTTGTTGGTGAACTTGTTGTTGTTGAAGGTACCGAAGTTGAAAGGATTTCTCCAGGTCCTGTTGTTGGTGCAGTAGGTATTTTTCCAGAAACAGAAGTTGTAGGAGTTTGTCTGTTAATTGTTGTTGTTCCACTAGGTGTTGTTTCGGATGCACTGCTTGTAGAAGTTTCTCTAGGTCCTGTTGTTGTTCCAGTGGGTGTTGGTTCAGATTCCGAAGTTGAAAGAGTTTCACCAGGTACTGATGTTGTTCCACTAGGTGTTGTTTCAGATACAATACTTGTAGAAGTTTCTCTAGGTACTGTTGTTGGTGAACTTGTTGATGTTGGAGGTACCGAAGTTGAAAAGATTTCTCCAGGTCCTGTTGTTGGTGCAGTAGGTGTTGTTCCAGATACAATACTTGTAGAAGTTTCTCTAGGTCCTGTTGTTGGTGACCTTGGTGTTGTTCGAGATACCGAAATTGAAAGGGTTTCTCCAGGTCCTGTTGTCGGTGCAGTAGGTGTTGTACCAGATACAGATATTGTAGGAATTTCTGTAAGCATTGTTGTTCCACTAGATGTCGTTCCAGATGCGTAAGATTTTGGAGTTTCTTCTGATGTTGTCCTTGTAACTTTCGATGTTCCAGTTGTTACTACCGATGCTGATGATATTGGTGGTGTGCTTGATACTGGGAATGTTGTGTATGTTGTGGACGTGACGACTACACACGGATTTCCCAGACTATTCGTGAAACCTCTTATTGCTGGCATCATGTTTCTGAAAGTGTTGATATGTGAGCACCCTCTCTTTGTGATCGTTTCTGTCCTCACATCTAAATAGAGGCCAGAGCCATGTGAACCTTGAGAGTCATCACCGTATGTGACATCCAGTTGCTTTAAACGGGTTTCCACTGGTGGACAGGAATTATTGGTTACGTTAATTCCGCTTACTACTTTTGGCAATCTTTTCTGAATTTTCTCAAGCAAGCTAGTGAGCTTGAACGTGTCTTCATATATATCCTGCCATTGCTTTGTCGTGGTTGGATCGGAACAAGCCTGCGTCACCAACTGTGATAGATGCTCTACTCCTTGGAAGACGGTGTCTAATGCAGAGAACATTTGCTGCAGCCTCGGGTTCTCAGTTGTGTTGTTGCAGCTCCGGTTTTGGCCACCGGTTACCCGCAAATCTGAAAATTAAACCTGGTCTTTATAGTAATCGCCTCTTACGTAACTTGATTCATCGTGATATTAACAGATCACTCGCCACAGTGTCGAGACCTACGAATGCAATTAACATAATTTATTTCATATATATATAGATCTATATTATTGTACAACAAAATCAGGTTTTTAACTTAGAGAAGACCGTTATATCTTAAACTTATTAAAGTTATCTCATTGGAAAATTACTCTCTCATTGTTGAAAAGACAGGTATATAGATTTTTTTTAATAACGGTAAGGTATGTATAAGCTCTGTTCTTATTAAATAATGATTTTGAAGATTCGTTCCCATTGGTTTCTATATATACGGTATTTATATTTTATCTGAAAGAAATATGATTAATGGTTAATTGTTAGCGATTGGAAAATGGTTAAATGTGTTTGTGTTAATCTGAATTATCGAATATTTCTCATTAGTCATGAAATGCAATTTACATTACTTACTATCTTGATTGATTACTGATGATTGTTGTTGGTGCGTTAGATAAAGCACTACTGTACTGTTGAAGTTGTGTATACTTACCGTACAAATGTACAGGAAACTTCAAAAGTAGAGGTTCCCATTCTGCCTGGGTCGCTTGGCAGGGCTGCAGATAAAATAAGAGATAGAGATACATTTTATTTAATGAACAAAAATTGTATTGAGAATATACGTACATAACACAGTTCAACAGCCAAGGTGCTACAGAAATAAAACTTGTAATTCTTTACTAATTGTGCGTTACTGGATTCGGAAATGGTGCTTAAAATTGCAATGGCCTCTACACAACCCAGGGCAACACGGGTTTAGAGCAGGTCGCTCCTGCCTGTCCCAGCTACTGGACCACTATGACAAGGTCCTGGATGCTGTAGAGGATAAACAAAATACAGATGTAGTATACACAGACTTTACAAAAGCTTTCGACAAGTGTGACCATGGTCCAATAGCACATAAAATGCGGGATAAAGGAATAACGGGAAAAGTTGGTAGATGGATTTACAACTTCCTGACAAATAAAACACAGAGTAATAGTAAACAGAGTAAAGTCCCAGGCAGCCACGGTAAAAAGCTCTGTTCCACAAGGCACAGTACTCGATCCCATTCTATTATTCCTCCTCATTTCTGACATAGACATGTAAGCCATAGCTCCGTGTCTTCCTTTGCGGATGACACCCGGATCACCATGGCAGTGACCTCCATCGAAGACACTGCGAGACTCCAAGCAGACATCAACCAAATCTTCGAATGGGCCACTCAAAACAATATGAAGTTCAACGAGGAGAAATTTCAGCTACTCAGATATGAAAAACTTGAAGAAATTACAAATGTATCAGGGTATACCACAAATTCTAACCATACAATAGAGCGGAAAAGTAATGTGAAGGACCTGGGAGTGATAATGTCAGAGGATCTAGCCTTCAAAAACCACAACAGTGTATCTACTTCATCCGCTAGGAAAATGATAGGCTGGATAATGAGAACCTTCAAAACTAGGGACGCCAAGCCCATGATGATTCTCTTCCAATCGCATGTGCTCTCTAGGCTGGAATACTGCTGCGCACCAACGGCCCCCTTCAAGGCTGGCGACATTGCAGACCTGGAGAGTGTACAAAGAACTTTCACGGCACACACAAGTGCAATAAGGCACCTAAACTACTGGGAACGGTTGAAAGTCCTTGATCTGTATTCCCTCGAGCGCAGGCGAGAGAGAGATATGATAATATACACTTGGAAGGTCCTGGAGGGATTGTGTACCAAACCTGCACACGAAATCACTCCATATGAAACCAAAAGACTTGGCAGGAGATGCAACATTCTCCCGATGAAAAGCAGGGGTGCCACGAGTACACTGAGAGACAACACAATAAGTGTCCGGGCCCCAAGACTGTTCAGTTGCCTCCCAGCATACAAAAGGGGGATTACCAATAGAACCCTGGCTGTCTTCAAGAAGACACTGGACAGGCACCTAAAGTCAGTACCTGACCAACCGGGCTGTGGTTCGTACGTCAGCTTGTGTGCGGCCAGCAGTAACAGCCTGGTTGATCAGACCCTGATCCACCATGAGTCCAGGTCTCAAACCGGGCCACGGGGGCGTTGACCCCCGAAACCCTCTCCAGGTAAACTCCAATTCTCCAGGTATGTAGATTTGGACTGAGGTCGGTTGCTGTTATCCTCTACCTGAGAAAGGACGAAGGTAAATAAAGTGTATAGGAGCAACGCTCTTGATTCACCCCACAGTGAAATACTGTTTTAAAAAATGAATGTAGATTTGTTTCTCACCAGTAGCTCTTTTTTGTCATGTTTCTTCTCTTCTTTTGGAGGGGGCATGGGGACGGGCATGAGCTAGATGGACCATTAATTGTGCAGTTTACTTTCATTTACGCTTTTTTTTTGGCAACTCTAATGACAGAAAGAGAGATTCAGGTATTACTCTAGTCAGTGGATTACATCAGTTCATTCCCGTAAGGTATACAGTGTACACGTATCAAACTAATTTTAGTGTTTGCTGTTAACATTGACTTTTTTCAGCTATATTTGGACAAAGATGCCTCAATATCTGCGTGAACAGTTTGTTTGTAGAGTATTCCTGACTTGCATCACAAAAGCGTGCTTTAACATTTTAGAAAAGCCTGTCACCTTTATTTTCGCTGCAAGATTAGAGATACGGCTAATGTTTGTGCAACAAACCGTTACTCGTTCTTGTAATGGAAAAGGAAATTTATGCCTTTTGCAGAGGCAATGATGTGCGGAGATGGAGGCATCATGCAGTTGTACTTCTTCATAATGTCTCCAGTCAGGAGAGGCATTTGCAAGACGAAAAATTAGACTGTATAATATCCTGATATATCCTTTGCTCTACGACCTGTGCCTTACGTCGAAGAAAAGGACGTCCTGAGCACAGAAACTCATTCTCCCTCGATTCAGAGGATGAAGAGGATGTCGGAACTTGCGAAACCTGAGTCTTAACTTCACAAATCCCTGAATATTTTTTTAAACTGCACATGATATTTAAGAATGAATTTAAAGACTTTATCAGAGATTTAGAACTGCCGGAGAGGAAGGCTGAACTGTTAGGGTCCATCTGCAGCCGTGGAATCTTTCCCCTGGAAATTTTTGTTTATTTAAGATATATTTCCTCCATCCATCCTTTGAGCTTTCATGGCAAACTGCAGAGCAGTCAATGAAGAACATACGAATTGCGGAATACTGCAGGAGGCCTACCGGCCCATACAAGGTAGATCTTTCTCAAACTCAGTCTCTAACAAATATATCTGTCCATTTCATTCTCTAGTCTACCCAAGGAATGCTTTGGTAAAACTTTTATCTCATGTTGAGCAAATCTCATTTAAATTCAACCCCTCTCATTCATGTATTTATCCAACCTATTTTTTAAGTTACCCTACTAGGCAGATCATTCCACTCATCGGCTACTCTGTTTCCATACCAGTCCTTTTCTACATCCTTTCTAAACCTAAACTCTAACAATTTAAATCCATTATTCCAATTTTTTTTAAAGGATATCCTAAGAACCTTATTAACATCTTTATTTATACTCATCCACTTTTACACTTCAATCATATCTCCCCTCGTTCTACGTCTTACAAGAAAATGTAGGTTAAGGGGTCTCCTGTACAATAGTTTCGGATCATTTTTATTTGATCTTATTTCCCTAAAAGGAATAAATGTTTTTTTGGGTAGCGTGTATAGTAATTAGAAGTTTAAAATCTACTAGAATTACTACGAAGAACAACAAGGCAAAATAAAGTCACTGGAACAATAAACAAATAATCCGCACACAAAGAAATTTATGACGATATTTCGGTCCGTCTTGGGCCATTTACAAGTCACATTAACACCAGAGAGAGGGGCACAGGGACGGGACAGAGAGAGGAAACAAAAAGTAGTAGTGGTATTGATAATGCCTAAGTAAATTCTTTCCTTCAGTTTCCCCCCCCCTTCCCTTGTGGTTTTGGTTCTACCCCTTACGATCCCTTAGATCTCTTGAGGTGCTCCTTTTTCCTGTCCTTAGACTTACCCAACTTTTATTAATACTACATATATCACTCCCATACTGCTATTGCTACTATCAGTGCTATTGCCTCCCTTCACTCCCCTTTCTATCTCTTGTTCCACTAAAACTAATCCCACTACCTTCTGCTACCACTACCACCGCCAGCATTACCACTCTTTTTTCTTCCTCTCTTTGTCCTGTCCCTGTCACCCTCTCCTATATATACTGGCTCTTCTCTCTCTTGTGTTAGTGTGACTAGTAAATGGTCCATGTCGGACCGAAACGTCGTCATAAGTTTCTCTCTATATGCAGGCTTTTCGTGTAAATTGCTACGTTGAAGTCTTCACAGTTTCCTCCCAATGTAGTCTGTCTTGGTCCCTGTCTAAGTTTTGAGGGCGGTATATCACGCCTAAAATCGATTTTTCTTTTGCCTCTGAAAAGTATACCCAGACAGTCTTTACGTGTTCCTTATGTCTTTCTACTCACTTTTATGCAGCAATTCAAGTTTTCGTGGACATATAGTGCCACCCCTCCTACTTTCCCATTATTTCTATAAACGTGGAACAACTTAAAATCTTGAATGTGGCATTCAGCAAACACGTCCCGATTCTACAAAGTAAACCAAGTCTCAGTTGTTGTAAATGCATCGATGTTACCCGCTCATGCGACTAATTTCAACTCTATCTTGTTTCTAGCACTACGAACAGTTTCTTCTCACTGCTCATACCCGTTCCTACACTCTCTCTAGTGCAGCCATTACCACCTTATGCACCTAAATTTCCAGTATTAACCAATAATCCTAACTCATTTTGCCTACAACAGGAAGCTTCAAAACCCACAATATTACTTCGCTAATAATTCACACTGCCTACTTTTGTCATACCTTATTTCACTGTATTCCCACAAAACCCATACCTCTAACTATCTGAAGTTTCAAGCTCTAACAGTTACCTTCACTGATCTAACGAGTCCCCTCACCCCAACCCTAGATAAATGAACTCCTTCCATGGCATACTTGTCACTTCTGCCATAGAAAAAGGTTCTAGTTGTTTATGTACGGTATTGAAATGTCTTTACAGGGTTTGTTCAGCCATCAATTAACAACAAATTGTCCTGGACAACCATTCATTTCCAACTCCTCACCTCGGCAAAATGCCACATATCATAGGGCGCCCTCCTTAATTATATCTGAAGCTGAACTATACCTGCTACTCAGGTCCTCAATCCTACGCCTGCCAGCATCTTTGCCTCCAGCTCTGACACAGATAATATGATTGGTTCATTACCTTCCATTTTTCATAGTTCCTACTGAGTATCTAAACTGACATAGATGACGTTGAAAATCATTGGTTTCCCCAGTATAACACTTGTGTAGAGAATCTTCTAAACGCCAGAATTCATTTGGGCATCTTCTGAGGACCTTTTTACAAATATCTTAATGGTATTACAACTGCTAAACGCATTCTCAACACCATAATTGAAAAGAATTTCATTTGCGGATATCATTTCGTTAAAGTAGAACACTACAATTAAATTTCTAGTTTCAAAGTTTTATTTTCCTTAGCCCCTCCCCCCCCCAAAAAAAATACCTCTAGTCACGAAACGTGCAGAGTTCATAAAATTCTTTGTGTATCTTAGGTTAGAAATTGCCTCTTGGTCTAAGAACTGCGAACCGCAAATTTGGTATGTCTTAAGAAATATATATATATAAAATATATATATATATATAATATATATATATATATATATATATATATATATATATATATATATATTATTTAAATTATAAAATATTGGGAGGTACCACCTCTGGAACTGGACTGGGGACCTTCATCCTCAGAGAAAAGAATAAACTTACTTCAGGGAAAACTCAAGGTTCTCCCTGGAGCTGTGTAAATATTGTCTTCTCCAACCACCCCCTATATTCTACACACAAATATCCCGCACATAGAGGAGAGGAGCTTACGACGAGATTTCGATCCGACTTGGACCATTTACAAAGATACACTAACAAAAAGGAGAGAAGAAGGGAGTATACATACGCCAGCAGACATCGACGGGAGCAAGAGAGGTAGTAGTTGTAGTAGTGGAGTCAGTCAAGTACTAAGAAAGAGGAGCACTGCAAGGGAGCTAGGGGCCCACAGAGGGTAGGAGCAAGAACACAGAGGGGAAAAATAATAAAAACAAATACTCAAGGCAGAAGAAAGAAACCCCAAAGGAAAAAGAGGAAAGAGGAAGAGGGAGAAGGGAAAGAAAAGAATCAGGTTGATTTACGGGTGTTCTGAAGTTTGGAGAATTTTACAGTGTAGTGGGATCTACAGATACAAAGCCAGGACTAAGATTCATACAAGAAATGTTGTGTATAAGAGAGGATGCAACCAAACGGCGACTGTGAAAGTTAGAAGTAGGGTAGACAGTTACAGCAGAAGACCAGTCAATAGGATGACTGTGATCTCTGACGTGAAAGAGAAGAGCATTGTTGGTGTCGCCAAACCTACCGCTACTTTTGTGCTCTCTAAGTCTGAAAGAGATCGGCCAGTTTCTCCAAAGTACTGAAGAGGACAGGAGGAACAAGAAATAGAGTAGACACCAGGAGCATCTATAGAGGGAAAAGAGGTATGAACTAGGTTAGTGCGAAGAGTGTTAGTCTAGCGAAAAGTAAGTTTGATGTCTAAGGAACGAATATAGTTGTTGAGAGTTGTTCAGTTCCTTGAGTCAGAAATTTCCACTCTTCATAATTCATTTTCCTGTCTTGGCTACCCTTCCCATTTCTTAGACTCTACCTTCTCAAGTGCTAAACGGACTTTCTTCTCTCCCAAACTCTATACTCCTGTGAACTCTCCTGTCCTCTGCCTTACCTACATTTCCGGCCTTTCTGATCTTAACAACTCTCTCCGCTCTAAGGTTATTTTGATACAAAATTATTATTCTTTACATTAACATAAATTAAAAAAAATATATCTTTAAACGTATAAGATAAAATTTTAGAAAGGACTTAATTTAAAATGAGTTTTTGCTAATTGGCCACTTTTACCTATTCGACACGACATATATATATATATATATAATATATATATATATATATATATATATATATATATATAATATATATATATATATATATATATATATATATAAGATAGAAATGTTAAAAGCAGGTAGGGATATAGTTTTGGAGTGGTTGGTGCAATTATTTAATAAATGTATGGAAGAGGGTAAGGTACCTAGGGATTGGCAGAGAGCATGCATAGTTCCTTTGTATAAAGGCAAAGGGGACAAAAGAGAGTGCAAAAATTATAGGGGGATAAGTCTGAGTATACCTGGTAAAGTGTATGGTAGAGTTATTATTGAAAGAATTAAGAGTAAGACGGAGAATAGGATAGCAGATGAACAAGGAGGCTTTAGGAAAGGTAGGGGGTGTGTGGACCAGGTGTTTACAATGAAACATATAAGTGAACAGTATTTAGATAAGGCTAAAGAGGTTTTTGTGGCATTTATGGATTTGGAAAAGGCGTATGACAGGGTGGATAGGGAGGCAATGTGGCAGATGTTGCAGGTGTATCGTGTAGGAGGTAGGTCACTGAAAGCAGTGAAGAGTTTTTACGAGGATAGTGAGGCTCAAGTTGGAGTATGTAGAAAAGAGGGAGATTATTTCCCAGTAAAAGCAGGCCTTAGACAAGGATGTGTGATGTCACCGTGTTTGTTTAATATATTTATAGATGGGGTTGTAAGAGAAGTAAATGCGAGGATCTTGGCAAGAGGCGTGGAGTTAAAAGATAAAGAATCACACATAAAGTGGGAGTTGTCACAGTTGCTCTTTGCTGATGGCACTGTGCTCTTGGGAGATTCTGAAGAGAAGTTGCAGAGGTTGATGGATGAATTTGGTAGGGTATGCAAAAGAAGAAAATTAAAAGTGAATACAGGAAAGAGTAAGGTCATGAGGATAACAAAAAGATTAGGTGATAAAAGATTGGGTATCAGATTGGAGAGAGAGAGTATGGAGGAGGTCAATGTATTCAAATATTTGGGAGTGGACGTGTCAGCAGATGGGTCTATGAAAGATGAGGTGAATCATAGAATTGATGAGGGGAAAAGGGTGAGCGGTGCACTTAGGAGTCTGTGGAGACAAAGAACTTTGTCCTTGGAGGCAAAGAGGGGAATGTATGAGAGTATAGTTTTACCAACGCTCTTATATGGGTGTGAAGCATGGGTGATGAATGTTGCAGCGAGGAGAAGGCTGGAGGCAGTGGAGATGTCATGTCTGAGGGCAATGTGTGGTGTGAATACAATGAAGAGAATTCGTAGTTTGGAAGTTAGGAGGAGGTGCGGGATTACCAAAACTGTTGTCCAGAGGGCTGAGGAAGGGTTGTTGATTTGGTTCGGACATGTAGAAAGAATGGAGCGAAACGGAATGACTTCAAGAGTGTATCAGTCTGTAGCGGAAGGAAGGCGGGGGTAGAGGTCGGCCTAGGAAAGGTTGGCGGGAGGGGGTAAAGGAGGTTTTGTGTGCGAGGGGCTTGGACTTCCAGCGGGCATGCGTTTGCGTGTTTGATAGGAGTGAATGGAGACAAATGGTTTTTAATACTTGAAGTGCTGTTGGAGTGTGAGCAAAGTAACATTTATGAAGGGATTCAGGGAAACCGGCAGGCCGGACTTGAGTCCTGGAGATGGGAAGTACAGTGTCTGCACTCTGAAGGACGGGTGTTAATGTTGCAGTTTAAAAACTGTAGTGCAAAGCACCCTTCTGGCAAGACAGTGATGGAGTGAATGATGGTGAAAGTTTTTCTTTTTCGGGCCACCCTGCATTGGTGGGAATCGGCCAGTGTGTTAATAAATAAATATATATATATATATATATAATATATATATATATATATATATAATATATATATATAATGTCGTGCCGAATATGTAAAACTTTTCAATTAGCAAGAACTCATTTAAAATTAAATCTTTTCTAAAATTTTCTCTTATACGTTTAAAGATATATTTTTTTTTCATTAATCTTGATGTAAAAATTTACAATTTTGCACCAAAAGGAACTTAGAAAACTTACCTAACCTTATTATAACAATCGCAATTTATTTTAGCCTAACCCAACTAAACATATTTTAGATTTGTTTTCAATAATTTAATGATCGACACCATGCCCAGCCCTTCTAGGGCAGGGTAGGTCCCTGAGCCAGAGCTTGCAGCTCACAAGACTGTCATTCCCATTAGCCTCCTTGTGGCGGGGATGACAGACCAGAGAGGCCTAGCTTGTGGCTGGGCCTGGGGACAGTTGGTCCCAAAGATGAGGAGGTACTTGTGCCTCCTCCCATGGCAGACTTAGGTCTCAGACACTCCCTAGACGAGGGAGCCAAGGCCGGGCCACCACTTGGAAAAGGTCCGGGCCAGGAGAATACTGGCTAATCTTTAATAATAATAATAATAATAATTTAATACTAAACAAACACAGTGAAATATATTTTTTTTCGTTAGGTTCAGAATGATTTTCCGCAATTATACTGCATAACAAATAATTTCACTTGTCCTATATGGCAAGATATGCGTTGCTATTTAAAGCAAGATCGCAAGTTATCTGCTATTCGAACGACATATATATATATTATATATATATATATATATATATATATATATATATATATATATATTATATATATATATATATATTATATATATATAATCACACACACACACACATATATTCGAGTTAAATGTGACAAATGTAAACTACAAAGACTGACCTCTTGTAGGAGCTGCAGCAGAAAGGGAACGACGACTCCGAAGGCTGGAAGGTGGAACGCCTTCATCACAAGCATGGTGCTGTTCCGCCTCCACCTGAAGAGTAAGAAACGATAGAATTTGATCTCGCTAATAAGTTTATTGATGCTTGAGCTTTTACATCCAGGTTGAATAAACTCCCAGTAGCTCAAAAATCTATTTTCATACTGAACAAGATGCCAGAGATTGGCAATATGCCACATAACAGGTTAATGCAACTTAACCTACCATTTATTACAAATCATTTGGTGCTATAAATCTTGCGAAAGAGAGAGAGACAGAAAGGGCAAAGGTAGCTTTAAGTAATCAGATCCTTAGCCTTGGTGCTAGGTAACACTTGTCTCAAATTTTTAAGTTTTGCATAAAAAGGTACAGATCTTCACTTTAAGTTTTTGGTGAATTTAAAATAAGTATGGCAATAACAACAATCGATTGGCTGATGTTTCCAAAGAAATGCATTTACACATTTTGTGTATATATATATACAGTATACTAAGTTATATGCCTGTATAATAAATTCGCTTGTATTGATTCAAATAAAGTTTCTTTGATTGTGATTCAACTGATACTTCTTTCATTGTCTCTTGTATTCCACTTATGGAGCATTTTTTTTATAGTCCAGCTCATAACCAGATAGACCTCGTGTATGTGGTCATGAACGACGTCGAGACGCTGCTGCCCAACGCTCTGCTAAAGACGATGCGATACGTAGTTATCATTTTGATAACTACGTATCGCATCGTCTCCTGCCCTCTGCTTGTCCATTAGTGGGCCCCTCAAGAAAAGGACGACAGTGTCATCTTTTCCCACCTCAACACCCTGAAGTGAAGCTGTGCCCCTTTACCAACAAGAAGCCCAAGTCGGGGCGCCATCTGGAAAAGACCCGTGCTGGGGGCCACCCTCCAACGAACCACCCATAATTTTCATAAATACATACTGCTAGGCTGAGGGACTGATTATCTCATTTTCTGCCTCTTCAGTCTTCTGGTTTTTTTTTTGTCGTTATGTTGATAAAGCTACTGGTTGAAGAAATGTCTACAAAATAAAGATTCTCAATTGGTGCATTTGTCTAATTTGAGTACTCAGGTGTTGAACATGAGTCTTGTTCATCATCGTGTCAGTATTGTATAGCATTACTGCTACCATCATTAGTAAGACCTCACCTGAATTATGCAGCACAGTTCTGATCTCCATACTACAGAATGAATATCAATTTATTGGAGAACACAAAGAAAAGAATGACAAAAATTAATCCACTATAAGAAATCTCTAATGTGAAGATAAGCTGAGTCTTGAAACTGCATTCTCTACTAATGACGTAGAATGAAGGGAAGACAGGACTGAAGTGTATAAATGGAATTAATAAATGAGATATAAATAGGGAACTGAGGATGTCCCACCAAGAACTCGAAATAATAGATTCATATTAGATAAATTTAGGTTTGGTTTAAAAAGACACTTGAAAATGTTATGGTCCTGAGACTTAGGTTACTTCCAACACAAACTGGTCGAAAATTACAGAGAAATAACAGTATAATTGTTTGATTTCCATATCCTTAGTGACTGCGATATTACATATATTTTCCTGAGACCCACTATAATAATTAATTACTGGGATATTGTTTGTGTGTTTTTCTTCATTGAGGACCGAGAGGAAATAATTGTTAAAAATCGAGCACATTTTTTTCTCGTTGTCAATAAGCTGCCAAGAGTTAGCCTTAAGTACTTAACTTTCCTCGGCCTTTGTTCTAAGTTCCTGGGAAAAACCTTTAGATTTAGTTAACGAATCCATAGAAATTTTGATCTCTGTCTCGTTTAGCTTATTCTATACCTTTTTTATCATTCTAATAATGTGAATATATTGATTTATGAGATGAGCCTCACCTCTTTCATACGTCTATTATTCCTTCCTTCTATCCAAAGATTTTGATCTCCTTTCTCATTTCCGATCATTTCCTACTCGTCTTGTTTCTCTATGAGAAATAAATGATTTTGGAGCAGCAGAAATGGGGTTAAAAACGTTTTCTTGCCCCGTTGCCCTGTTTTTAGAAAAAATTTTACCTGGAGTCAGTACACGTTTTACTTCGCACTTAAACGTGAAGTAAACTTTCGTCGGGGATTTAAAATGATTCGGGTTAATACCAGTTCTTAGTCTAAAATTTAAACTACGAATGAAAGAGATCCCACTTTAAAACACCGATATTAAATAACATAAAAAAAATTTTTAAATTTATCGACAATATATCATTAAAATAAAGGGAAAATACATAAATTAAAAAATCTAGAAAAAATTTACGAAACACTTGCCCTCTCACATACAAACGATGTCATTATTAGCCGTAAAAGGCAGAAATTTGGGAATGGGAAACGGGATAACGAAACGTTCACGGGTGACTAGCCCGGGGTTTTATATAATATATATATATTAATATATATATATAATATAAATATATATAAAAAAAAAATATATATAAAAATAAAATATAAAAAAAATTATTTTTAATATATTAATTATATAAATAATTTTTTATAATATATATTATATATATAATATATATTTATTATATAATAAAATTTTAAATATTAATAATTAAAATTATATAATTATATATAAATATAATAATTTATATATAATTAAATATATATAATAATTTATATAATATATATATATAATATATAATATATAAAAATATATATAATTATATAATATAATTATAAAATTTTATAAAAAAGGGGAGTGATTGGGGAATATGAAAAAGGGGTGGATAAAAAGAAAAAGTTAGCTTAAAAGGTTTTTAAACAAAGCAGAATTTATAAGAAAAGCAGAGTATAGGGAAGAAAAGAAGGTAAAAGTGGTGAGAGAGTGCAAAAGGGAAAACAGATGATAGATGGGGGGGCAAATGTCAGAATTTTAATAAAAAGAAAAAAATTTTGAATGAGTTAAACAATTTTAAAAAGCCTAGGGAAAGTATGGGTTTTTGGGGTTAAAAACAAGTAGGGGAGTTAGTAATGGGGGGAGGGGGGTATTTGGTAATGGGGAAATATTTTTAGGAACTTTTAAATGTTGAAGAAGAAAGGGGGGCGTAATTCATGCACTGTCAGGGAGGTATACCATCTTTTTTGGGGTAAGAAGAGCAGAATGTAAGGTGGGGGAACGCGGGCATTACGTAGAAAAAGGGGAAAACACTGGAATGATGGGATCTGACAGAAAAAATTAAAAACAGGGGGGGATATATGTTTGGGGTGGTTGGACTTTTTTTAATAAATGTATGAAAAAGGGGAAGGTACCTAGGGATTGGCGGAGAGATGATAGTCCCTTATATAACGGAAATGGGGCAAAAGGATTGAAAAAAATTTTAAGGAAAAAGTTCATTATATACCAGGAAAAGGTACGGTAGGGGTTAAAATTGAAAAATTAAGGTAAGACAGAATGTAGGATTTTCGGATACAAGGAGGTTTTTAGATGGGGAGGGGGGGTGTAGACTAGGGGTTTTCATTTAAGCATATATGTAACAGTATTTAGAAAAAGGTAGGGAAGTTTTTATTGCATTTAGGATTTTTAAAACATATGAATGGATAGGGGAGCAAGGGCAGAAGTTGCAAGTATTGGAATAGGGGGAAGTTTTCTAAAACTGTAAAGAGTTTTTTTAGGAAAGTGAGGCTCATTTGGGTGTAGAAGAGAGGGGAAATACTTCCCCGGGAAAAGTAGGTCTTTAAAAGATGTGAAAGCACCATGGGGTTTTTAGGTAAGACACATAGCAACAGTAGGCATCTCCATTTTGAAACGCCTCGCCCAAAAACCCGCAGGCTTCTTTAATCGAGTACAGAAAAAATTTATAGAAGCAGAAAACTTGAAGACGATGAATCAGTCCATCACCCTTTAAAATTTTTTGGGGTCAGTCCCCCAGTCTGGAAAAGCATTGTTTTTAAGTCCCGAAACAATTTTTTTCATAGTCTGAAACAATGTTTCAGACAATGAAACAATGCTCTTCTCCAGACTGAGGGACTGACCACCTCAAAACTTTAAGGGTGATGGACTGATTACATCGTCTTCAAGTCTCTTCTGCTTCTATCAACTTTTCTGTACTTTTCTGTACTCGACTGAAGAAGCCTGCTGTGTGGGCGAGGCGTTTCGAAATGGAGATGCCTAACTGTTGCATATGTGTCTTACCTAACAACCTGTCGGTATTTTATACCATTTTAGTGTCACCATGGTTGTTTAATATATTTATAGATGGGGTTGTAAAAGAAGTAAATGCTAGGGTGTTCGGGAGAGGGGTGGGATTAAATTATGGGGAATCAAATTCAAAATGGGAATTGACACAGTTACTTTTTGCTGATGATACTGTGCTTATGGGAGATTCTAAAGAAAAATTGCAAAGGTTAGTGGATGAGTTTGGGAATGTGTGTAAAGGTAGAAAGTTGAAAGTGAACATAGAAAAGAGTAAGGTGATGAGGGTATCAAATGATTTAGATAAAGAAAAATTGGAAAATCAAATTGGGAGGAGGAGTATGGAAGAAGTGAATGTTTTCAGATACTTGGGAGTTGACGTGTCGGCGGATGGATTTATGAAGGATGAGGTTAATCTTAGAATTGATGAGGGGAAAAAAGGTGAGTGGTGCGTTGAGGTATATGTGGAGTCAAAAAACATTATCTATGGAGGCAAAGAAGGGAATGTATGAAGTTATAGTAGTACCAACACTCTTATATGGGTGTGAAGCTTGGGTGGTAAATGCAGCAGCGAGGAGACGGTTGGAGCAGTGGACATATCCTGTCTAAGGGCAATGTGTGGTGTAAATATTATGCAGAAAATTCGGAGTGTGGAAATTAGGAAAAGGTGTGGAGTTAATAAAAGTATTAGTCAGAGGGCAGAAGAGGGGTTGTTGAGGTGGTTTGGTCATTTAGAGAGAAAAGGATCAAAGTAGAATGACATGGAAAGCATATAAATCTATAGGGGAAGGAAAGCGAGGTAGGGGTCGTCCTCGAAAGGGTTGGAGAGAGGGGGTAAAGGAGGTTTTGTGGCAAGGGCTTGGGCTTTCCAGCAAGCGTACGTGAG